CCCAACCAATCCGAAATTTCTACTGACAGTTTCATGAGACCTGGGCCAAATATCAAAGGTCAGGGCCAACCAAAGGAGAGTAGAACCCCTGACAATAAGCTAGGACTCAGGGACGCCAACTCAGCAGTGGATGAGCCATTAGTGCCTGAAGGGACCACGTGAGCTTGATTTAAGGAGACTCTAAACCCCATGGGGCCCCCAAGGCCCAGCACAAGCCAGGGCCAATCGTCTCTGAAAGGCACCTTCACCCTAGGCTTTAAACTGCTGGAGAGGGATTTCTCACAAGTGGCACACCACAGTGTCCCCTTCCCACTGAAGAACTGTCACAACCTACATGATAACTGAGAAGTTACCAGGCATATTCACAACTGCAACCCAGCAGCTCAGGCCTTCACTGTAACCTCTGTACACACACACACACACACACACACACGCATACACGCACACTTAATTACTTGGGGCTGCCTCGCTTATGTCTGCTGCGGTAATAAACTTAATCAAGAAACCAGTCCCTTCACTATATATGATACTAAAGGCTCTCCATGTGCTATTGTGGAAAATGACCCGTGTGCCCCTTTGAGTCTGAGGGTGACGCAATGCTCAGGAGATATGGGGGCAAGACCACAATTACACCTTTGGCGACCATAAGGCAAACCTCCCACACTAGTGACTCTAACAGGGCACTTTAAAATACAAACATTGCAAAGTCAACTCAACGTCAAGCTTTTCTAGAGTTTTAACAGGGAAGAAGAGAAAGAGAGAAACCAATTCTTGGTGGTTTGGGGTTTTTTTTAACAATATTCCATAGTCTCTATTCCATAGAGATACCAATGCTGGTTGCTGGAAAAGCAGAACCTTGGAGAAGCGGCTCATGTGAATGCAAAGAACAAGAGGGGTGGCTGAAAGGGCTGGTGCACATTCAGTCTGTCCAGCTGAAGAGCTGCGTGACCTTGACAAAGAAACCTGACCACTGAAAGGCCATAGTTTGCTCCTCTGTAAGGGGACAAGGGGACATCAGAGGTCTGGATAAATTCTGTGGCTGCTTCTACCTCCAGAATCAGTGATGTGTATGCTTCTGTGATCTCTCAATGGAGGCGCATCCTGAGAGAAGTCAAGTTTATTCTATTCTAGGGCCACAGGTGATTCACAGGTGTAAGTCATGGTTCCAGACAACAGGCTGAGACCGACAAGGCTTTATCCAGCCCGGCCAGTGTGGCTCAGCGGTTGAGCATCGACCTAGGATCCAGGCGATCGGGGTTAGATTCCCAGTCAGGGCACAGGCCTGGGTTGTGGGCTTGGTCCCGTCGGGGGTGTGCAGGGGGCAGCTAATCAATGACTCTCTCATCACTGATGTTTCTCTCTCTCTCCCTCTCCCTTCCTCTCTCTGAAATCAATAAAGATATATATATATTTTAGAAAGACTTTATCCACTGCAAGTCACACTGCTTTTAAGGCAACCATTTTTTAGAAAATAGAGTGCAGGGTTTCAAAGCAACTTAAGCAATCACTTTATATCCTAATAGGATAAAGTTTATGCATAATTCAGTGTGACCCTTAAACTACTGACATTCATACTATGTTATTGTTAGCGTTGCATGTTAAGCTAGCAAATTTTTCAATGAACTCTCGCTGGCTTTACCACAGACACAGATGTTAGGCGGACTCCTTTGTTCATACGGTTCTCATTATTAACTCAGCCCGGGCTGAATATTTGACTGAAGGAAAGGGCCATATCATTATTTTCAGATTTCATTCTATGACTTAACTGGGCTACATCTGCCAGCTTTGGAAACGCCAAGTACTTCTTGGCGCCAGACTTGGCGTCCTGTTCGATGACTACTACCCCCAATGCTTCAACTTGAGGAAGTCTCCTCACCATCAAAACAGTTTAATAAAACTGAAATTGTGATTAAGAGTTACTCATCAATTGACAAGGCATACCAAGCTTGTGCTATTTATGAATTATTCCACACAATGTTTCAGGCCTAACAAATAGAATCCACATTCATAAAGGGGTAAGCTAGAAAGTCAGTTAAATGTTTTCATGATTTATAAGGTCTGTGTTATACTTGAAACCATATTTCTTTAATAGGTAAACTGGCATTCCATTGAATAATTCAGTCTGCTTTGAATCTATTCTAAGGCTCTGCACAGCTTAAGGGACATTCTGAATATAAATTTAATTCTTTTGTTCACCTTTGGGCAGTATCTCAGCATAAATGTGATCAGAGGGTAAGGCAGAATTCAATTATTAAAATACTGACACTAAAGCCACTTGGAAAATGTTAAAACTCATCCTGATTCCAAATGTAAATAATACTGTATAAGCCTGGTTAAAGACATAAATTAAAACAACAACTTAAAAGAAACAACAAACGGGCATGACATTACTGTTTCCATGTGTCTTGACCACGAACAATAATATAAGTAGGCAAGAATACTTTGAAACTATCTTTGATGATTATTAGAAAAAAAATAATTCAATCTGTCTATGTGTAGAAAAGCCCAAGGGAATACACTATAAGTCGTCCCAAACAACTGAAAGAAGACAGATCGGTTCTCCACCCTACAAAGTTATACATAACAATCAGCTTTAGTGAGTCTGAGCATCTCACAGCATCTTGGAACAGTGCTGCTCCACCCCCCACCCAATGCTTTAAGGACTTCCGAGACAAATATGATCATTCAGCCTCTTGAACGGTTTCGAGTTTTCATTTCATCACTTAATATGGCAATCAGTCTTCTATTTGACATCTCTAATCATCAGAACAAGCTACCTCATGACTCTTACACTGGTTGGAGCTGATCTATTAAAAAATCTTAGGTTTATTTCCTCTGCTTGATGTTAGCTCATCCAACACTTGAGACTCAGGCCTCAACAAATTTGTCCCTCTTGGGGACTGTCTTCTCCAGGTGTTTCCAATGGCTGAGACACACTCCGCTATCCCTACCTTCACTACTGCTTACCGGTCACTCTTTGACCATGGCCCCTAGAAGTAAACACCTCAGATATAGTCTAATCAGTTAAAGAGCACAGTGGGGCTAGTACTTCTAAAGAATTAAAATTTGAATATTTATCAATGCAGACTAAATATATCACATGAGAATCAGGCTCTTAGCAAGACACAGAAGTAACAGAAAAGTCGCATTAATAGTAAATCTTCCAGTAACAAGCATGAAAGACAGTTTGGTAGCACTTACGGGAAATATACTAACCTCAATATACACAGAAACTCGAAGTTTGAAACAATTTTACCACCAAACATCATGCTCTTCAGCCCAAATATTAATATTCAAAAGCTGAATTTTTATTTTCCTACTCACCATGTTGTATGTCTTTCATATCTAAGTGAAGGCTGGACATTAATATCCCAACTGCTTGTGATCTTTTGTTGCTTAATAACTTGACAACCTGCTCAAGAAAGGAAAGGGGGAAACATTAATTTGAACTCCAATGATATGCTTAATAACATGTTATTTTTAATCCTAAATGAAGAACAAATAAAGTCATTATTAAAGTATTCAAAAAGGGTCTGAAAAGAGCTTTGGGGTTTTTATATCCTAAAACTTCAAGATCCACCATTCCCCCCCAGTATTCCCATCGGCCTCAATGGCAGGCTCTTTACCAGTCTTTCAAGAGCCTGATCTGTCAACCAGTAAAATGTCTAATAGTTTAGGAAATCGGTTGGGTCTCTGTAAAATACCAATTACACATTTGATAATATGCAGCCTGAGATTTAACAAGTGTTCCTTTCATAGTGGAGAGCCTTGAAATTGGTCAAGGGCAAAATAAAGTAGACACATAGAGAAGACTTGACTCCTACAAGCCGATCTCAGAACCCTCGGCTGAAAAACGGAAAATGCAGAATTAACAAATTTGAAATCTACAAAATTAGAACAGATAGCCAGGAAAAAAGGATTACTTTCAATTATCCAAATTCACATCAGAGTCAGCTAATGCTCTTAATAAAGCATTTATCTTAGACTCCCCTCAGAGGCAGGACTGCGACGTGGGGATTATGAGCGAGAACTCTAAAATAAAGCAGTATTTCTCAAACTTTAATATGCACTTAAGTCATCAGGCATCTTTTTTAAATATAGATTCTGATTCCTAGGCCAGGGTGGGGGGATCTGGAAAAGCTGCTCCAACAGCCTAATGCCTCAGTTTTCTCATCTAAAAAAATCACAGCAACTTCAAAGGCTGCAGGGGTATTTAGCGTGACAATGCACTTGACACTGAGGAATAGACCTGGCAAAGGATACTTAGGGAAGCAGTTCAAATGTTGTCTCAAAAATGAAATACCAGTCAATTTTTCATTACTGAGTTTAATTCTACAAGGGAATTAATTATTTTTCCTTCCTCTCATGTAATTTCTTAAGAAATTCAGGCCCTTATTAGTTCAGAGCCCTTTTCCAGTGGCTGCAAATAATTTTTCATTACCTTCCCTGGCCTCCTACCTGACCAACAGCACATCTGCTTTGAACAGGCGCAATATTAGGCCATAGAACAGGCACAATGGAAGGAACAGGTGCAATATTAGGCCATGGAGGCAATAAAATCATACATACAACCCAGTCAACACTTTCAGGACCCTGAAATAGTAATATAAATATTCTGCACAAGTGGAAATACGTTTAAAACCAACATTAACTAATTTTTGTTCTGAAACACTACTGCATCAAGGAGATATCCTTGATCTATTTCTACTATATGTATTTTTTTTATTTCTTCATTTAATTTATAAACTAAGCCAACACTGGGAACTAACAGTAGAAGTATAACGATAGAAGCAGCAAGGATTTTGAGGACATACACATATTATTGTAGATCATTAAACATTAATTTATTGTTCTATTTATCTTGAAACCCCATTGCCTGCCTGACTGCTGTACATGGAAATTTCTAATAGTGGGAGTCCCAAGACAGTATACAGTAATTAAATTAATAGATACTCTAAAAGCCTAGGGTTGAGCACAACTTGCATTAGAAATACTGAAAACCAGCGATATTCATTAGCTTGAGTATTGGTTTCTTTCTCAACTTCAACCACTATTCTGTGAAAATACACAAGGAAATGGCCAAGAGACAAGTCTTAGTCTCCATTTACCTTCTTTCCTCTGCCCACCCCTTCTTCTCTAGCAAAGGAGGCAGGGAGAGCACAGGTAAGTTGGAATAGGGCCAGATTTAGACAAGGTTCACTTATTCCACAAGTCTTATCAGGGCTGACTTAGGACCCTCTTCCTACGACTCTATATTGTTCAGCTATAACATGCACACCACAAAGTAATCGTTGGGATAATTCCCACTAAAATACAGCCACCTCTACACAGAGGCTACCGTGCTGCGTGTTCTAACCCCTAGCACGATGCTGGACATGGTAGGCATCCAGTAAATGTCTGCAGAATAAGTGAACCTTGTCTAAATCCCTTTGCTCACCTCAGAAGCCCCCCCCCCCAACATAACCTTCAAAACTTGATTCCCACCCTTGGTTAAGCATCAGAATCACCTAGGCAGCTTCTTAAATAAAGGTGCCTACTCTCCATTCTGAAAAGTAATTTTTCTGTAGGATGGAGTCCTGGAATATGCATTTATAAAAAAACAAAAAGGAAGAAACAGAAAAAGAACTCCACGGCTAATGCTGATGGGGGCTTGGGCATCACGAACAAGGGAGTATTCAACTGTGACTGAGCCGTAATTCTTACCACTAAACTCGTCAAGAATGGAAAGATAAGAATTTATATAACTTGTCTCAGTCATGTTAAAACTGAGAAGAAAGATGATGAGAACTATTCGTATTATGGGAGTAACCAAAACCACATTTAAATAGCTAATCAGCCCTGCGGGATAGTTCAGGGTGTTGCCCCAATCACCAAGGTTGGGGGTTCAATCCCTGGTCAGGACACATACAAGAAACAACCAATGAAAGCACAAATAAGAGCAACAACAAATAGATTCCTCTCCCTCTGTTTCTAATCAACAAATAATTTTTTAAATTAATCAGTCAACAATGGTGTTTGTTGTTAACCCAGAATTTTTACTAAAAGTACACACTGTATTTGTGGCATGGAATACCAGATAAGTAAGCTAATGCATCAAAAGGCTTCACATTAAATATCCAATAAACAGATAACTTGAAGTTTCTTCCAGTTTCCTACGATCTGGTAAAATCACGCATGAAAGAAAGAAACTAATTAACCTGCTCACGGTCTAAATGCGGAATCACAACAAGGGTTTTGTTTCCTAATCCCCAGTCATGAAGAGCTCGCTGCTCTCCACTGAAAGGGCCTGGCACACACAGCCTTGCTGGAAACCGAGTATTAGATGAGAGGGATAAGCGGCCAGATCCAATAAGGCAAATCCTTCTCGAGTGGGGCAAGATATGAAGAGTCAGCTACAGAGATTAGGTGGAGGTAAATTCCAAAGCAGAATTATAGAATGTGAAAACTGCTGTTTCGCACACAGATATTAGGGCACACGGCAGTATACTGGGTGGTTTACAGGGCATTCAAGGAGCAGCAGATGCAAAAAGCAGCCGAGAATACTCCAGTGAGAAAGGAACGGAAGACTATGAGCAAATAGGAAATAGGGAACTCATCAAGAGGGTACAACTCCCAAACTCAGAATTTCCAATGATCTTACCTGTGTGAAGGCACAAGATCTGTATTTCAGCCCCTGGCTTTGCCTAAATTAGCAGCTACGTAATTTTAGACACGCTCTTTAACTACTGGACCTCAATCCCCCTATCTGTAGAATATAGTTAATAATCCATGTGTGATATTCCCATAACTTAAGGCAATCAAATATGTGAAATATTTTTAAAGTATAAAACATCTTGCAAATGCAAGGTATTGGTGTTACTTTAGTAACCCAATAACTAGCAGTTATGTTTTATAACACCATAAAAGCACTCGAGCTTCATCCAACAAGAGGAAGACAAGCCATAACAGAAAGCAATGAGGGATAAACCAAATAAAGTTTGGTAAACTCTAGAAAGAAGAGAGAATGGCCCACACACTGATGAATCCCCGCCACGCTGCAAATTCACAAAGTGCCGGTGCTCTTTAGACATACGTACTGTTGGGCAGCTCACAGCTCTGAGTTGGGTTCAGATATTTTTCCTTTGGAAAGATATGGTCATCTCTAGATTTTTGACCCAGTGAGAATCAGGGAGCCAAGAGCCTTCTTGGTACTGCCTGATACTAGCTCATGAAAACAGTACACGTCTTAAATCTTAACGAGTCTACGCTCAAAAGTGAAGAATGCTTGTACAGGATTTTGCAGAGCAAGAGGTTATCGGGTTCTGTGCGTGTTGTTTTTTCAAGTCTACTCGCACAAGAAAGGAGGGCTGCCGTCTTATTTACACCACCGCCCGCCCTGTTCCAAGCGGTGTTAAGCCTCAGGGCCGGGTGGCCAGCCTCACAGGCATCCGCCGCATTCCAAGGCGCTGCAGGCCAGGGGAGGCCCTGGCGCTGACCATCCCCAGGAGCGATATCTCCAGGCTCTCTGGTTGGCACCAGGCAACCCTGTCTACTTGGGCAGCTTCAGCACAATCTGGGAAACAAAACAGGGAGCTTGCTGATGGGTGAGATATTTTGACATCTCCCACTGATTAAGTTGCCTTAATACAATTCAGTTTAAAAATCTGTCCCTCTTGGTTCGAATATAATCTGAGGGCTGTCCCTCGGCGGAAGGGGTTAAGTGTTTCGACCTCTCCTGGCACCATCTCCTTGGGTCCTGCCTTTATACTCACTCAGTCCAAGATCCTGACCCTGGCTTCCTGGCTCCACCTCCCAGGTTGCTCCAACTAATTAGAACATGAACTTCAAGGAAGTGCAAATAAGCCTGTGGGGAATTTCTCCCCAAATAAAACTATCCCTCTGGCTCTCCACTGTTTCTCGATCATACCTCCCTGGACCATCTTCTGCCCTTCAATATACCATGATGCATCACTTGATGTATCACTACTGCATCAGAAATCAAGTCAGACAAAAATCATGGCATTTAGGAAAAGCAAATGTGTGTTACATTAAGGTGATGTGGTGAACTCTAAGAAATATGTGCCATACCTTATTTTGAGAAAGGCGCTCTCAATGAGAAAGTGTTATCTACCTGGCCTACGAGATCAGCCACAGTTACCCAGTCAATGGTTTGGCTCCTCTCTCCTGTACCTTAGGAAAATGCAAGCTATTTAAAAAGAAGAGCAAAGCTACAGGCTTGTTCTAAATAAATCCAAAGTTGAATAAAGTAATTACAAAGCCTATTAGCTTGGTGCATATAATGTACTCAAATCATATCTGCTAGAATAATAACCATTATTTATTAATTCACAAAAGAAAGGAAGACTAAGAATGGAAAATTGCTGAAAGACATGATAACATGGGGTAGAAGCTGGAATTTCCACTCACCTCTGC